TGGCTGGATTGTCTCCTGGAATACTTACTTCTTCATTTTTACCAGGTAATCTTCTCTACTTACTTCGTTCATCTTGTATCATTACTCGTGTCAACGATATCGTCTTAACTTCGAACTTACTGTATCAGTCTATTACCCGTTGCTGGGATACTTTGGTTTCGGAGACCCCACAGAAGCTGAGGAGCATCGGAGACGCAATCCGAACTGGGATTTAAAAACCAAAGTCGGAAAAAACAAGAATCTCCGATCAACCGAGATGGCCGGGCGCATGAATCTTCTCAAAGCATGGAAGAAAAATCCTAACCGATCTCAGATTAGTGTTGGTGAACCGTCATCAACTAGAGCAGAACCGACACCGGCGATCGTGAACGAGCCAATAGTTGCCGACGTCCCGCCACTGGAAGTAGAACCACTGCAGCAAATAATGACGCCAGTCGGTGAATCCGTGGTTGATGCGGAGATTTCTCAAGAAGCACAGGAGGTGCCCGACGAGCCAGTAGTTCATCGTCGCAAAAGGTCCAGCGTATCTCATATGGCGGAGAGGATGAAGAAGAAGCAAGATACCGGCGCTGGCAAAAACAAGGAAGAGGAACCCGAAATCGTTTTGAGGGATTCCTTCCTCAAGATAAATGAGAAGAAGGCGGCGGAGTTGACGCTGCCAGAAGGTGTGTTTGACCCCTGGTTTCCGATGTTTCAAACGGTCGTCGAGCCAAAAATTACGAACAACCAGCGGTTCCCCGATGAAGCAGTTAAAGCGGCAAGGGTTCCACTGATGTCGTGGGACCCAAAGACCCATGCGGGGATCGCATCACTGCCAGATGACCAGAAGTTCAGTTACGCCCGCGGTTGTTTGGGCCGGGCTCTTGTCAGTTTTATAGCGGCCGAAGACAGTTACCGGAATAGAGCTCATGAGCTCGATGAAAAACAACATGAGCTGAGTTTAAAAGAAGGCGCTATAGCTTCTCTGGAGGATGAGAAGTCTCGCTATGAGGCAGCCTTGTCAAGGAAGGACGCTGAACTGCAGGCGACATTGACCGAAGTGAACACCCTCAAAACCGAGAAAGAAAACTTACTGCTAGCCCATGATCTCACGTCGGTTGAGTTGGCCAAAGTTGTGGAGGTGGCCAAAGAAAAGGACGAGCA